ATAGAATAGGCATGATTTATTAAAACAATACATCAGCTAAATTTCTTGTCGCCTCTTTAAATTATTTTATCTCTATCAATGTTGCATTATTTAGGCCCTATTATTTGTCATTATTGCTTTTATTATCGCCAATATATTTGTTATCATTCAGTTATTGTTGAGAGATAAACATTGCAAAAATTAGATTTTTCCTAATTACTGATAATCTAATAGTTTCATATATATAGCTATTTATCCAGAAAATGGCACAGAAAACATAAACGTGTAAGTATAATGTGAAATTTTATCCAAGCGGTTGTAGTTAATCTTTTTTATATTATTTATAGAATGTTTGTATCCACTCAGGAAGTTCTTATATTGAAATGAACAGCTTAATAAAGTGCACAAATTTGGTCCTTTCCTCATCATTTCACCAAATCATAATTGGATAACTCAAAATACATTACAAAATTATCAAACAGTGATAAATGCATTTGCTACTAATAATCTCCAACCAAATAGTTGCAGGGATGAAAATTAAATTCACTCTGTGTATTCCACTTTTCGACTATAACTAAACTCTACACCATACGCAGAAATATTTACAGACTTGACCCCAATGCATTATTCGATCCGAACGCTTAACCGACAAGAACAAATCGGTACCACTTGGATTCTTACTAAAATAGGAGTACGTAAAAGCAATTTTGATGAAGATGATAGTTTCTTTGTCTTTAGGAATTAGAAGATTGTTTTTTTTTCATAAGCTAAAATTATTTTTAATGAATCGGGTGATTTGTTATCAAATTATCAAAATCTGAAGTTAGAAAAATAAAAGTCATTTTTATAGCGAAATCCATCTGATCTATTGACTATTTACTATGTTATAAAATCAAAGAAAATTTGAATAAATCCATGGATAGTTTTATTCTTCGCATGTAATGATTATCTATTTGGAAAAGCTCTATCAGAATGACTTGTATTGTTATAGAACAACCCTCTGCAGACAGTGCATACAAAGTTTAATAAAGAAGTTAAGGAAAAGCTTCTGAAAAAAACTAAACATACTATGGTGCGTAAAGAATAGATACAGTTAGAAAAATTTATGATGTACTTAATAAAGTCGGAGAGAATAAAATCCAGAATATTAGATCTTTTACCGCATCCAGTTTTTCAACAAATTTCCCGTGATACTGTCCGGTTATAGCACAATCTCGAGAGATAAATCCCAAACTAGTACTATATATCCCAATCTGGTGCTTTGGAGTATATTAACTAAAATTATTTTTGCATTTATTACAGTAGTCTTCATGGCTTTCTAAATCGTTCTTTCTACATTCCTAATTATTGATTCCACCGCGTCTCAAATTATCTCCGAATATAAATAGATCCAAAAATATATCAGCCTTATGTTGAACACATGGCACAAGTAATTCATTCGCAAAGTACCAATAATTATAGCAGTTTTTTCTATAACTCTCTTTATCTTAAGATTGGTTCTATTATCTCGATTTTTTTGTATATTTTTTCATTTGTTTCACTCTAGAAGTAGCCGTGCAATCATTGATATTGTATAGATGAAATTATAATTCAAATTATAATTTGGGGTTAACTTTATATAAGCGAAATTAAAATAGATATAGCCTCAAAAAAACTTATACGATCTTTAAAGAAAATACTTTTTGCCTCTAATAATTATTGCAGCTTGTAAACATATTTCATTAATACTGATTGAGTAAATAAAGGTAAAGCATATTAGCGAAATTCAATAATTTCGAGTCTATTAAAAGAAAATTTTGAGGGTATTATTAGAAAGAGTGCATCCTTTGATTTTGTTCGATGAGTATTTTTTGTTGGCGTTTCAAGGCTTGAATCAAAGTACTTTGACCAGCACTACCACCCACATACTTACGATAGTTTTGATTCTAAATTCATCTTTATTGATCACTCTTCATAAATCGATTCTCTTAGCAATTGATCGTCTGGCAAAGTGAGGTTGCATCTTCCAAGAAAAGACGTATGGATCACATATACCAAACATTCTTTGAATAATCGAGATGATTTCTTTAATTATAGAACCGACTTATTTTGGGACTCTAAGCAGTTAACCATTGTTCCCAACGTTGGCTGTATTGATGGCTGAGAATATAGAAGAAAAAATCATCCCTTCGCACCCTTCGATGGCGATTGTGACAAGTTAAATCAAACAGTTCGTTGTTAAAAATCTCACAACTCCACACTACGACTGCTGCGTGATTCTGTATGAGCAACTCAAAGGTAATCTGAGATATTCACCCAAGGCATTGCGATACAGGCTGGTATTTTCTACGAACGATTCTAATTGATAGTTACTTTTGATATTTCTCAAATTATCTCATACGTAGCCGTGGGCTAAAAAGTACAATTTTGTACCAATTTTTTATATTCAACTCCTCGTCACACCAGCCGAGTATCGCCAAACATTCTTGGTACCTATCTTAGAAAATGTTATCTATCAATAGAATATTCATTAAACCTTATTTCAAAAATATTTGAATCTCACTAATGAAATATTGTGAGTAAAATGGCGCACAGATGTAACACAATATCGCGTTACGTAATTTAGTGCACTGATGAATGAATCAAGGTGGGAATTATGGGTGGATAATTAGGTAAGCGAAAAAACAATTGTATTCTCACAACCATTCAAATAAATTTTAATAAAGTCCAAACCTTAACCAATAAACTCTTATCGCGTTACTCAGTGTCCAATATACTTGTAACTTCGTTAATGCGTTTGATAGAGAAACCGAAGCTTGTCTAGAATTTTGGATTTCTAGCAGAATAAATGTTTATGGAAGAAAGTTGATCCATTCGAAACACTACCCTTAATTATACTTATTCCCCGACTAAGAAACAATAAATAAACGAAAGTTTACGTCCGAGGTAATCGTCTTAAAGCAACTCACATAATTCGCACTCTGTTACCAGATTTCGATGCTTGATCGATAAGAAACGTGATAAACTTTTTTTAGTTAATATCCAATCGAGATTATACATTATAAAGAATATATAGATAAAACGCAAATCTGAATTAATCCAATTACTTTTAAACAACATACCCTAGTAAACATTAATGTAGCTCCTTAAGATAGAGACGAGATATTAAAGATTTCGACAGAAACTTATTTTATTAGTCAAATAATAAAATTTAACTTATTAAATAATTTAAATAATTTTTTATTTATAGAAATTATCACGTATACTTCGCGTAAATTACATTATATAAGAATATAGAATAAGTTTATTTCGCGTAAAGTACATCTCTAGTATATTTGATTAAGTATCTACGTATATACATTAAGGCTAAATATTTAATACATATCTTATAAAAGATTTGATAAACAGAAACATCGTAAAGTTCTAACGTTCGAAGCTTATACGAAAACATCGGAAAACATAATAGATATGTTTCGAGAAAACCTTGCCGTTCGTCACGTCGTATTACCTAAAGTAGTGTCAGGTTTAAAAAAGAAATTACTTTAGACAAACGTTATCTAGTATGCTACAGGGGAAATATTAAAGTGGCCAGACGTGAACTACACCAATATCTCTCCGACCCCTCCTCCGAAATCAGCGTACCAGCGTATTAATGAACACATCTACTTAGGACTATGAGGCCCCTTTTGGGGGTTTTTTTCTGCCCTCCCTCCCTCCTCCTCTTTCTTTTTTCGTTTAGAGAAAAGTCAACCACTCTAATACTGAAAGGTTTCTATACTAAAAAAATAATAAAATGAAGACTAGACTAGACTAGACTAATAGTATATATTAAGAAAGGTGTATAGACGAGAAATCTACATTAAATAAAAAAAACTGCAAACATACCTGTAAAGAAGTATAAGCGTGGTGGTTTTCGTTAGACTTTGGAGGTCAGAGTATATGCAAGAGGAATAATGTGTTGTGGTAAAAAAATTTTGTTGTTTTGTTTATGCTTTTATCTTGTTAATCTTGTGACTTAATCAATTTTATCAATTACAAACTGATCAACAAGATAATTATATATAAAATAATTCTCACTTACGTGACACCCCTGTAATCACTACCCATGCAGGGTATTTGGAATCAAAAATCACGAATGCCGTAGGGGTGTCGCATAGGTGAGGTAAGAAAAACACCTCCCATGTCTTTTATTTTATATTTTATTTTATTTGTTAATTCTTTTATTCTAATTTTTTTTATTATGTAAAATATTTAAAAATTAGTTTTTTTGTGTTTAATAAATTTTTATAAATTAACAACATGCTAAAATATAATGATTTTATTTAATAGAAAAATAAGATCATATTAGAAAATGGAAACCATTGTAAGTCTGAAGCTAATAATCATGTGTTAATCATATAAAAAAACCATGTGTTACACAAGCATTACAGACAGAATCCACACGTGATCTCTATTTTCATCAAGGATTATAAACATAAAATATCCTTTGTTTTGCTTCAGATAATTAAATAAAAAAGTAATATTTATTTACAAAATAATAATAATAATAATAATTTTATTATTATAATACAATATTATCAAAAATAACTCTCTTTTGATTATATTTATTTTGTTAAAAAATTTTCTTTTATAGTAATTTTAAGCAAGAAAAAATATTTTATACTTTTTATTACAAATCCTATTTTAAAAACTCAAGAACCTTCAAGACAACTGGTGTAACAGGATAGAACCTCTGATTAAATTTACTCAAATTAGAAAATCTTGCTTATTCTTCAATTACATAAGAAAAGTTCTATAGTAATTTTCTATTCTTTTGTTTTTTTACATTTCTCTTTATCCTTATTTTATTATAAAAATTATTTATATTATCACTATTATATTTATTAAACCAAATACTTTTCAAAATATATACTTAAACAAAATTAATAAATTTATTGTTTGTTTTAAGTTAACTCTCAAATTCAATTATATTATAGTAATATTTGTTGTACTATTTCAGATTTTTCAATATTTTTTTTTAATTAAAAAACCAAAATCAGTTTACTTTCTTTAGATAATCAGTATTATCCAATCATTTAATCAGATTTTGCTTAAAAATCAAATCAAAAACTAAACCTGCTTAAACTGGTTTTGTATCATAATAATAACAATTATATTATTATTGACAACTATTATAACAAATAATATCACATATATTCTATTATTTAAAATGATCAAAGAGCCAAAAAAATAGAACTATAAGCCTGTCTGAAGGTTTTTCTAGAACTATATTTAAATTATTACAAATAAATTTTATAGTTTACTTTACTTAGTTTTTTAGTTTTAATTATAATTATATTTTTTTTAATTATTTTACTTATAATTTTATAAAAAAACTTTATAAAATTTTTTGAGTAAATAGGTATAGCCACTATTTAAATACAGTTAGTATATAGTATTGTTTTAAAATTCTTTTTTAATATTAATTAAATATATATATAATCAAGTTAGTATTTAATTTACTATTTTATATACAATATATAAGAGATATTGTTTCTTTTATAATGTATATTTTGTTATATATAAATCAAATAAAGAAATAATATTTATTTATAAAAAAAAAATCTTAAAAAAAACAATATTATCAAAAATTTATTAAGTAAAATTTATAAATTAAAAAATAAAAAGTAAAAAATAATATTAAAATAAATAATAATAAATGATTATTAAAAATATATAAAAAAAATATTATTAATTATAAAAATTATTTATATATTTATAAAGCAA